ACTGGGGGTGACTAAATCCAGTCCAGTTGTATCTCCAGAAGAGACAAGTTTGCACGTTTACCGCTAAAATAACCCCTTCGTCGTATCTCCTCAGTTTCAAGGCACTCCCCCTGTTGCCTCAGCCAGTATCGGAATCCTCGGCGTCGACATATCGAGTGACGTGTAGTTTCGTGGTCACTTGGAAGAGAAGGCCAAATTGGCCTCTAAAAAGCTTGGCGTGCTGAGCAGAGCGGGACAATATTTCATGCCGACACTACGCCTGCCACGAATAGCGGAGCCGCCGGGGACTGGGGGCCATTTGTTTGCGTCGTTACTCATGGGGGGATATTTGCCATAGTTGCCACGCTTGGCGAGCAGGTTGACAACCGCAGTTTTTTATTATATTATTGTTGTCATTTGGAAGATGCTGCTGCCCATGTCCTGCCTGTCTCCTTCTGTCGCCTCTTACAACTCCCACGGGAAGATATGTGGTAATGGATATTCTCAACTGCCACTACACGTCCAGACGGCTGACTTTATGGAGAAAGAGGGACTCTTTATGATGAACTCTTCCTTCCAGAAGCGGCCCCATGGGAAGTGGACCTGGTCGAGCCCGACGGTTCGACAAAAAGTAGATTGAATTCATTATGACGACCAGACGCCAACGGTTCAGTGATGTCTCAGTGATCGCAAGGGTGAAAACTGGCAGCGATCACCGAATGGTTAGAGGCACACTGAACCTAAACATTAAGTTGGAGAGGTCTCGTCTAATGAAGTCAACGCTCCGTCCCCCTCGTGCTCTAATCCAGAATCCCGAAACCTTTCAGCTCGAGTTACGTAAACGCTTTTAGTGCCAAGAAGATTGCAACGCAGTGGACGGTATGAATGACAAGCTCGTGGAAACTGTCCACGCGGTCGGAGCTAAATTCTGCAAGACCCGCCGCAGAAGAACACAAAAACTCTCCGATCACACTCTTGATTTCATGGATGTTAGACGGGAGATGAGGCTGCAATCGTCAACAGATTTGACAGCATACAGGTAACTGAACAGACAGATCTCCAAATACATGCGACAAGACTAAACGCAACTTTAATACTGCTCGTATTAAAGAAGCGATCGAGTGGAACCAGGGCTCCAAAGTCTTTGCCAGAGATCTGTCTGCCAGAAAAAGCCAACTGTCAAAGCTGAAGATTGAGTGTGGCAGCATCGTTTCCGGGACACCTGAGATTTTGAGTGAGATTGAGAGGTTCTACGGGTAGCAGTACATATCATCGTTGGAGCCACACGCAAGTGTGAGTAACGATCCAAGAGCAAGTCTTATCCTACACTATTCCGATGATATCCCGGACATCAGTCTGCGCAAGATTAGAATGGCTCTCCAGCACATTAAAAATGGCAGGGCCCCAGGCGAGGATGGAATTACAGCGGAGCTTCTGAAAGCGGGTGGAACACCTGTACTTAAAAACCTTCAGAAGCTCTTCAATTCCGTCCTCCATGATGGCACTACTCCGTTGGCGTGGAGCAGAAGTGCGGTGGTATTGTTCTTCAAGAAAGGTGACAACGCCCTCTTGAAGAACGAAGAAAGAAGTTTTCGAGAGTCATTACGAATCGTCTCGCACGCAGACTCGACGACTTCCAGCCTCCCGAACAAGCCGGTTTCCGAAAAGGCTTTAGTATCATAGACCACAAACATTCCCTTCGAAAAATTGTACAGAAGTCCGAAGAGTACAATCTGCCACTTTGCCTGGCGTTTGTGGACTATGAGAAAGACTTTGATTCCGTCGAAATTTGGGCGGTGCTACAGTCTCTTCAGCGGTGCCAAGTTAACTGTCGGTATATCGAAGTGCTGAAGTGTTTGTACAGTAGGGCTACGATGGTTATCCGAGTATAGAACCAGAGTACGAAACTTATCCAACTGCAGAGAGGTGTAAGACAGGGTGACGTTATTTCCCCGAAACTCTTCACCGCTGCATTGGAAGACGTTTTCAAGCTACTGGACTGGAAAGGATACGGTATTAACATCAATGGCGAGTACATTACTCATAATCGATTTGCCGACGATATAGTCCTTATGGCAGAATCACTGGAGGACTTAAGCACTGTGCTCAATGACCTCAATAGTGCCTCCCAACGGATAGGTCTAAATACGAACATGGACAAAACAAAGATCATGTTTAATGTCCATGTCACACCTATGCCGGTAGTTGTTGGGAGCACTAAGCTCGAAGTTGTTGACGAGTACGTTTACTTGGAACAAATAGTCCGACTAGGTAAGTCCAACTTCCAGAGAGGTCAATCGACGGATTCAACTCGGCTGGGCAGCATTCGGTAAATTACAACGCATCTTCTCTTCAGGTATACCTCAAAACCTGAAAACTAAGTTGTACAACGAGTGCGTGTTGCCAGTGATGACCTACGGAACCGAGACGTGGTCCTTTACTGCTGGCCGTATGAAGACGTTCAAAGTCGCTCAGCGAGCTATGGAGAGGGCTATGCTCGGTGTTTCTCTGCGTGATAAACTTATAAATGAGAATATCCGCAGTAGAACCAGAGTGACCGACATAGCCCAACGGATTAGTAAGCTGAAGTGGCAATGGGCCGGCCATATAGCTCGAAGAACCGACAACCATTGGGGGAAAAAAGGTTCTCGAGTGGCAGCCTCGTACCAGTAGGCGAAGTGTAGGGCGACCACCCACTAGATGGAGTGACGACCTGGTAAGACATGCAGGAAGTCGATGGATGCAGGTGGCTCAGGACCGTGCTTTGTGGCATACCTTGGGCGAGGCCTATGTTCAGCAGTGGACTTGTGAAGGGCTGTAATGATGATGATGATGATGACACCGCCTGCAACTTTACAAGGTGCAGGTTCGGCCGCACATGGAATACTGTTCGCATCTCTGGGCTGGAGCTCCCAAGTACCGGCTCCTTCCACTTGACCGCATCCAGCGCAGAGTGGCTAGAATAGTCGACGACCGAGTGCTTTTCGATCGGCTCGATTCACTGGCGCTGCGAAAAGATGTTGCATCACTTTGCATTTTCTTTCGCATATACCATGGGGAGTGCTCACTGATCACTTGGACTTTTTGTCTTTTTTGGACTTTTGGACTTGGTCACTCGGAAGAGAAGGCCAAATTGGCTTATGACTTCACCGAGAGAAAACTCCATGGTCATCACCATAGAGGTAAGAGAACAGGGGAACGACCGCCGTAGAAAATAGTGTCCTAGAAGTACGGACACCATAAGTGAGACGCTGCGGTCGCTAAGTTCGCTCAATAAAAATCATTGTCAGTCTATTTTTCCGATCAGATGCTAAAGCACATGCACATCCACGCACAATAAAATATTTATACATATCGTTTAACCTCCATGGTCTTCACAATATAACATGCGACGCTAGGAGGTTAGAGAAGAGGAGAACGATCGCTAAGTACTAAAGTATAGCCCACCCGTCCTTGAAAATTTGTAGAATTTATAGCGGCGCTGCCGTCGGTGAGTAGTGGCTGTGAAGTTAGCTGTTTATGAGTACAAGTGGATGAAGTTAGTTGAATAATGTACAATTTTTTTTCGGCATTGGTGAGAAAATTTTCTTGCTCCGTAATTTTTTAATATTTGACAAAAAGAAATATTAAAAAATGGAGAAATATTTTATTGTGCGTGGATGTGCAAGTGGTTTAGCATCTGACCGGTATAATATACGGTAAAAAATAGACTGAAAATGACTTTTATTGAGCGAACTTAGCAATCGCAGCGCCTCACTTATGGTGTCCATATTTCTGGGACACTATTTTCTTCGGCGATCGTTCTCCTTTTCTCTAGCCTCCATGACGCGACGTATCCTCTTATAATATACTTTTTTATTAACTGGCTTTACGGCTCTGGGGTCTAGCCCTTCTGAGCCTATCATTTCTTTCGGAATCTTCATTTTATATTCTTTTTCTTCACAATATGCTGATGCGTCACATTGCGAAGCCGAAGTTTGACGACAGCTCAACCTAGCGGACAGTTGATGACGACAGCCACTCAAGTTCATAAGGCGCCCAAGCGATCAAAATAACTTGAGGTTTATATCGACATCAAAGCACTTGTTTCGTCGTTTTCTCTAATAGTTCACACGCGCGGACACGTAATCACAAAATCGCATCACTTTTACGAATTAAAATCCACCTCAAACCATTATTCAAGCGACAAAATAGGAGTGACAATCCGCCTACGGCCAAGTTCCCACCTAAACCTCAGTTTGTGCGATAATCATTTCCTGCATGGAGTATAGAGGTAAGGAGGGCAATCTCTCCTAGGAGAATATGTCCATTCCTAAGAAGTAAATAACAGTTTAACAGGGTATGATGAATTGCCGTAAAATACGTTGAGAGTGATTTTGAAAAAAAATTTTTTTTTGAAAGCAGTAAAATAATTATGGTGAAAGTCTGTGCAATAAAAAAATTATAAAAAGTTCTTAAAAACTAAGACTGTAGTTACAGTGATGCCACGCTTATTTAGAGCGCTTTCCTACGGACACTTTTTTATACAGTTTGTACTCCTTACCTCTACACTCCATAAGGAGAACGATCGCTACGTACTAAAGCATAACCCGCCCGTCTCAGAAAATTTGTAGAATTTATAGCAGCGCTGCCGTCAGTAAGTAGTATCTAAGAAGTAATTTTTTAACTATTGACAAAAAGAAACATTAAATATTGATGAAATAATATAAAAATTATAATAAATAAAGAATTCAGAAGCGTATCGCAAAGGCTCTCTCATCGGCAAACTGATATGCTTCGGATCAGGCAATAATGGGCCAAGAATTGTGCGCACCGTCAGGATGGCATTTGCTGGGACAAATGTCAGTTTGACCCAGCCGGATATAATGCAAAAACTGACGGAACGCATAGATGATCTGAAATAGAGAATCGCCGCTTGGGGAAAGCGGATTCGGCAATATACCGAAAGGTCGACTCGGTTCAACCAGATTCGTCTCTTCCACAGCGATCAGAAGAGGCTCTATGAATCATTGGAGCGACCAATGGCAAGTGTAACGGGCCCCGCACCGAATCAGGCCGACACTGTAACATTCTGGCGCGGCCTGTGGCCTGATTCAGAGCCCGTAAACGAAAGCGAGGCCTCTTGGACGGAAGTTGTGGCGAGTCAGTGTGCGAGTATAACGCCCATGGACCTCGTCATTATGACGCCGGATGATGTAGCTAAGGCGGTCCGTAGGGCCCCGAACTGGAAAAATCCGGGACTTAACGGGCTGCATCACTACTGGCTGTAGGGGTTTGTCACACTGTGCTCGCCCGACAGTTCCAAGAGGCTCTCAACCAGAAGTCGCTCCTGAGCCTTTTCACTACTGGGATCACTCATTTGGTTCCTAAAGACCAGGATACCACAGATCCGAGCAAATATCGCCCCACCACGTATCTACCGACCATATACAAGACACTAACATCCATTTTGAGAGCGAGAACCACTCGTCACCTGGACTCAAATCAGGTGATGTCGCGCGCTCGAAATGGATGTCGGGGCGGTGGTCGTGGAACCAAGGAACCACTTCTCATTGACGCGGTCATTGGCAAAGTGGTGAAACGCAACCGTCGGAACTTCTCCGCCGCCTGGATAGACTACAGAAAGGCATTCGACTCAGTGCCCCAAACATGGCTAAAGAGAGTCCTCGAGCTGTATAAGATATACTGTACAGTTAGAGATTTTCTCGAGCAGTGTATGGGGCAGTGGATACGATCATTTGTCATCTGGGCGAGCGGATGATGGCTGCGGAAAGCCACATAAGGATAAGAAGGGGTATCTTCCAGGGCGATTGTCTGCGTCCAATCGTCACCCTTTTTTACTTGAAAGGAGTCAAAGACCCACTAAAATACCTCTATCGCCTCCCATCTGTGGAATTGCTAAACATCACTTGTGAATTTAGCAATTCTAGATCTCAAAAGCAAAAATATCTGTCCATAAAGGACCCTTCAATAAACACTCAGTTGACTGTTTTATGCACGCTTGACCAAAGTGCTCAACAGCCTTTTGTGTGGTGTGAGTAAGACACACGCATGACCCAACCGTTATACGGTTGGGTCATGCCTGTCCTCATGTATACCTTTGGCATACTCAGGTGGACTCAGACTGAACTTAACGCCCTGGATAGAAAAGTCCGCACTACTATGACGTCCCATAGGATACATGATCCGAAATCGTCGGTAATGAGGCTGTACTTGCCGTGAAAGCATGGTGGGCGTGGCTTTTGGAGCGCGCTCACCATGCATAATCGTGAAGTGTGCAGCCTCCATAATAATACTTCCTGGTGAGATCGGATGATCCATTCTATAAGGACGTAATTTTTTGTGATAAAAGTAGTTACGTTGTACCAGTTCTGGCTCACTGAGTCAGAAGTGGTACAGGTACAACGTTCGTCGAACTCACGATCCTATAAAAAAAAAGAAAAAAAGGTTTTGGCTTGCTCTGATCACGAATCTGCGGTCCATTTTTGCGTAGGATGCACGGTTCCGGAGATGTGCAGATCAATTAACTCTTATCTAATTGATATCCGGTGATAGCCTCCACCGTCATTAGCACTCCATTGTTCTTATCTATTTATCTATTGTTCATTGAATACCGTCATTATCTATTCTTCCTCAGCGTGGTGCTATTGTATTAAACTCCTTTGTCCCTATCTACACTAATCTAACTCATCAATAAAACTCGTTACCCAATTTTGTTAAAATTTTTATTTATAAAAAACAAAATCTTATTACTTATTATCTATAAAATAGGAGCGAAACATCTCATCCACTAAAATATCGTTGTACAATGTGTTCCCTGTAAATATACTCATAAAACTATGCATTGAACATCCCTGAAACTTATATAGCAAATAGATTAAGCAATATTCGCCACAAACTGAAGTCCACTCATTCTGAATACTATCAACATTCCAGTTCCATCTTTTACAATTTCTTTTAAAAAACTCTAGATGATATCGTATAGGTGCCCGTCCATATGAATCAAAATATTGACCGACGTCATTCGTATCGATATATAAAGCTACCCAATGTGACCCTGGTTTATCATCTGTACCCAAATTGCATATTACCTAGTAAGATCATAAATTCTATCACATGTTTAATATAAAATAATTGAAACAATATTATTCATTATGTAACCATTTAAATACCAAAATGAACTTAACAAAACATAGATTCTTATGACACTATAGTTTATTCAAAATGACCTCCGTGATTTTGAATATAGGCCTTCAATCTACGCGGCCAGTCGTCTATCGCAGCACGAACGAGGTCCATGTCAATATCGGCGGCTGCGTTAATCAAGGATGCCTTGAGTGACTCCAAATTGGGATGAGGCTTTGAGCACGCCTTTTACTCCAAATGTTGCCATATCTTGTAATCTAACGGATTCAAATCTGGACTGGAGGAGGGCCAGTCTTCGTGCCGGATGAAGTCAATTTCACGCGCCGCCAGCCAGTCTTGTGTGCTCTTCGCTCTATGAGCTGACGCCGAATCTTGTTGGAATACCCAGTGCTTGTTATTGAACATGGTATGAGAAACAGGTTACACAAGGTTCGTCACGACTGTATTTTGATACACAACTGCATTCGTTTTAACACCTTTCTCACAAAAATGTACCTCTGTTAAGCCCCAATAAGAAACTCCCAACCATACCATGAGCGAGGATGGAAAATAACCTCGTTGGACACACGGAATACGGTAGCTAGCTTCTTCACTACTGTGTGCGTACACCTTATCATTTTGTTTGTTGTAGCTCTCTTCTAAGGTAAAAAAATTTTCATTCGAAAAAAGAATTTCCCGATATTTTTTCCCGCGTACCGCTTCAACAAAGCGCGGCATCTCTTCAGTCTTAGGTCCATTAGACGAGCATTCAAACGATGTCCTGTTTCTCTTCGATATGCCCGAAGCCCTAAGTCTTCATTTAACACCCTTTTCACTGTGGTTCTGCTTAACCCCATCTGAAGGGCCAACAGTTTCTGCTTACATTTGGGATTTCTTTGAATTCGCGCCTTCACAGCTTTTATCACTGCTGGAGTCCTAACAGACCGAGGGCGACCACTTCTTGACCTGTCATCTACACTAGAGTCTTCATTGTATCGTTTGATGGTACGATAAACGAATCTTTTGGTTATATTCAAATTTTTCAGTATCCCTTGAAACTGTCGGGCGGGCACAGCGTGACACACCACGAACCCCTTCAACCAGTAGTGATGCAGCCCGTCGTGTCCCGGACTTTTCCAGTTCGGGGCCCTATGGACCGCCTCGGCTACGTTATCCGGCGTTATGATGACGGGGTCCATGGGTGTAATACTTCCACACTGACTCGCCACAACTTCCGTCCAAGAGCCCTCGGTGTGGTTTTCAGGCCGCGCCAGAATGGAATATTGTCGGCCTGATTCGCTGCTGGGCCCGTTCCACTTACCATTGGTTGGTCCAATGATTTATAGAGTATCTTCTAAACACTTTGGAAGAGATAATTCTGGTTGAACCGTGTTGACCTCTCGGTATATCACCTTCCCCCCGCTTTCCCCAAGCAGCGATTCTTTGCTTCAGGTCGTCAATGCGCTCCGTCGTTTTTTGCATTGTATCCGACCGGCACAAGCGCGACTTTGCACCTTCAATTTTTGCCGAGGCACGGCACTAACACCTCTTGGCACGGTGCCGACTGACTACGCTGACGTAGCAGTTTTGTCATATAACCGTTACGTCAGCGGGCGATGGATGGTCGTCTCTTCCCTACGCCTTATTATTTCACCATTTTTTAATGTTTCTTTTTGTCAATAATTAAAAAATTACTTCGCAAATACTACTTACCGACGGCAGCGTGGCTATAAATTTTACAAATTTTCAGGGACAGGCGGGCTATGTTTTAGTACGTAGCGATCGTTCTCCTGTTCTCTAACCTCCATGCGTGAAATAAAGATGTCAATAAAAAAAATGACAGCTTACCGCCATGACGGGTTTATGTTGTGTGTTGCAATTTCAAGTGTGATTTCCTGTGCTTTGCTAGCAAACAAAGCTATTAAAAATTAATCGGAGAGCTGAGAACCGTTTAAAATGTGTTTCCCTATGTTTGAGTATAGTGTACAAGGACCTGGCCTAGGCTTCATACATTTTGGAACATCTCATTAGTATATTAGTTTATTTTTTTATATTCATTAGTATATTAGTTTATTATTTTAGTAAATTAGTTTATTATAAATAGCTATATATTGCGTAGTGATTGCAAGCACACATCCTTCAAATCATCGATATCGATGTTTAGTGATGCCTCATTTTATCGATATCGCCATAAGGGTGCATTTTATACTTTTATAGGGAGCAATATTATAGTATTACTTTGTGAAACAATTATAGTACATTAACATTTATACTTTATTCAAGGACACCAACATAATATATAACGGAGTACCGGGATCCTTTATGTTTTTAAAAAGTGTCATTAGTGACGTCAGCTGCGCTGACGTCACTAATGTTACCACCATGGTGATCACTCATCTTCAATTTAAACACTTCAATGAAAACACTACAAGTATACTGAGGCTTTCAGTTATTCGACGGACAGCGTAACGACGTACTTAGAGAGGTGTACACTGTCCGACCGCCCGAGCGAGACTGCTCTAGCCATAGATTACTAAGTATATACTAGAGAGCTCTAGCTCTAGGCTCTAGCACGCTTTGTGCGGCCGTATTTACAGCGTGGCGGACACGTGTTCACCGGTTTAAGTTAGGTATTGAATTATGTGAATCACAAGACATTTATATTGTAATAATAAAACAGTGAACTAATGGCTTATGAACTATTTTTAACACAATCAAATTATTAAACAGTGTAATTAATGATTAATTAATGAATGACTAATTATTAATTAATGATTCCTTATTATAATCGACGAACTATTGTTGTTGCGCCGATATATACATACACGTAATCTTAGGATTAAATTAAAGGCACATTAAGTTATTTACACAAATTAAAAAATTGTACAAAACATTGTACATAGGTACAATGTGACGAGAAACCGAGCAATTTATAGTTGATTACATAAAGCAAATTAAGGAAATTAAACCACAGGAATCATATTTAAGTGCTTAACCCTTAAATGCACGATTTTTTATTTTTAGTTGAAAAAAATATGTATGTGATGTCTCATGGAAATTACTGGAAAAATAATAAAAAATATATTTGAGAAGGTTCAGTCCGTTAAATGCTTCATTTTGTCTCTGTAGGATGCAGCCTACACTA